TATGAGGTAGCGCATAGGTTATCTTGAACAAGGAGTAATTGCAGTGAGGGAAATCAGTAGTGTAAACCAATAGCTTTCATAAGATGAGGTAATGTTTTTTTAAGCTCAATTTTCAGTTGCAAACAATAGAGGAGGAAAACACTGGTAGGCTGAGCTGCTCGTGTGTTATCGTGCTGAAAAAGGTGAGCGCTATTATGCACCAGGCAGGAATCTTCAGCCAATGTCAAGGAAGTATTAACAGTGTTAGTCTTGGCATCGAGGCCCACCCTCTGGGGAATGTCATGTGTGGATCCTAGTTACTGGCAGACAAAAGAGGGAAGTTCCAGTAAGGCAGGCATAGAAAGTACAACTAGGATGCTCTGCAAAAGTCTGGACCTAAGGAAAGAAAAGGCTGTTCTGTTTGTTCTAGCTAAACAAAATCTTGCATGCTCTGAATAAGAGCATCAGGTGGGTAAATAAATTCCAGGAAGAGAAAAGGAGAGTTAGCAGAAGAGCAAATAAATTAGCTGTGTGTAAAATTAGTGTGGAAATTAAAAGAAAGTGTAGCACTTTGTTTCAAGCTCATAGGCATATTGGGACCAAAGGACGCAGGCTGTTTGGTGGTGGATGACTGCTACAGGCTAAGTTAGGAAAGGATGACCTCAAACAGCACATGAGGGGCAATGGGTATCGTGTCCGAAGTGAGACTGAATTTGCAAAAGCTCAGGTGGTGCTTAACTGTGAGGTTATCATTGCCAGAAAGTGGGGGCAAAGCTCTTGCAGAGGAGAGGGACAGGGAGATGTGCTATATGTTGCACTGTCTTCTTAAAGTGTCACTTTGTACCACTTACCTCGTAGAAGTTAACAAACTGAAAAGGATTACTTGCATATTACCTCTCTGCTCCAAAGAACCAACAGTCTTCACTTATGTTTATGCACTTCTTAAGACAGTGGGTCTTGATCACCCCAGCTTCTAGGCAGTACTTGACATTAAAAATAATGAAGGGGTTCTTTCTCTTCAAAGTCGTGTAGCTTACTAGAAATTAAACTTGACTAATCTAAGTTCCCTAAATATAGCAGGAAATTGTTGTGGCACAGACAGAATGTAATAGATGTTAGTTATGACTGTTTTAAATATTAATTTTTGGCCTATCCAACATAAGGTGAAATATATTTCAAGGCAGATTTAAATGGAGGTGAATGGTGTGTGGTTATGAGGTGGTTGATGCGAAGCTTTTAAAACTTCAGAATAAGGGTTGGTACATGTCAGGAAGATGAAGTAAATTCAAAGTCCTTTTCAGGGTGGAAACAAGCAAACCTCTTGGAAATGTTTCTTTTTAGTAGAAAAAGCTTTAAAATTCTTAAGATTATCTTAAAAGCTTGTGTCATTGTAACAGCATAGGCTAGTGTGGAAAGTGCATAATTATTTTTTTTATCTCACTGTAGAAGGGCAAGAGCTTTATTAAGAATGTCTTAACTACTTGCTGTAACGGTTGACAGGGTTAAGGAGAACTTGATTCTAATGCCCAGTTTAGCTGAGTGGTGTCCATGTTGTTTTGCCCCCTTCCTATGGCAAAGGGGAGTGAAAATACGATGTGTTATAAAGTACTTGACACTCTGTAGTATTAGAGTACGCTGTGGCTATGGACTGTATTGGAATGGATGTCAAAATTCAAAAGCAGTGATGTGACGTGCTTAGCAGGCCTGACTTTACACCTAGATCTCAAAAATGTTTATGTACAAAGTAGATTGAAGATCGTGCAGCTTGAGCTGTGTGGTAACTTTATTTTTAAGTGTATAGGCTGAAAAACAATGGACGTGTTAAAACAAAGCCGAGTAAATATAGAGTTTTCTTGAGGAAAACCAACAAAAACCTTCAGCTTTGGGAATTTTAACAACTGAAGAAGACTTTAACAATTTAAAATGACATTTTGTACTTAGCTTAGATTTCTGGAGTGGGTGCTTGATCTAGGCACTGTGGAAGAATATGCTTTTAATACCCGAGAGCAAGAACTGGAGACACAGAAAAGTAGTGTTGGAAATTGCTTTTGATAGCAAATGTAGAGAGGAGGAAGAGAAGGAAATAGTACGTATGTAGGAAGAGGAGATTAGTCCTGGCTGAACAGCTGGGTTTAGGGTTGGGAAACCCATGGGAACATTGCAAAGAGAACTGCGACTGTTGAGCAGGAATATTGTAGGAGGGAGCTTGCTTGTCTTTACAGGGAAACAGTGAGAAGGCTTAGCAATTCATGTGTGCTGGGGGAGAAGGGGGATGCAGTTGTGAGAGGGTGGGGAGAGAGAAAGTGAAGGCATCTGAATTGGGATGAAGGACCAGAAGCATGAAAAATGAGAAGAGAATTAGGAGATAACGCTGTTGCAAAGAAAGGAGACTGAAGGGAGTCAGATGTGTTGAAATTAGGACAGAAAATTAGCAGAAGCATCTGCCCTCTGTGATCTTCTCCTGCCCCATTTGTAACGAAACCTGAGGTGTCCGAACACTTTCAATGAAGTGTATGTCTCATCCCCTGTAATTACTGCTTTTGGTCACAATGTAACTACAGTTGCTCATTTAGCTCGTGTCAGAAGCAAGCACCATAGATGTGCAATTACGCTTCTGAGTTGTACAGGTGTCATGCGCTGCCACTTGAAAGTGTTCTTAATATTCTGCTTACAAAAACACAACCCTGGGGAAACGAATATGGTATGTATAGTAAGGCAGTGCTAAAGATGAATGTATTCACATCAGGAAATGCCCATAATTTCAGAGGGTTAAGGTGGCATCTGCTGTTTCGATAGGGCTCTCTTCTGTACGTATATGCATAATCTCTGATAGCAAATCTCAGTCTTCATAGTGGAGCCCACCTCATTGATGGTGCTGGACAGAACTGCCTGGTAGATGCACAGCACCGTGGCTGTGTGTGATGAGGAACACATGGTCGCATGGTCCTTATCTGTCACTGAGATTTCAGTTTCTAGGCTGGATCTAGGTCTACGCTGTTTCAGAAAAAAAATTGGTTTTGATCAGTGCCATGGTTTGAATATCCCAAGGAGCAGTAGCCTGTTTGAAAGGAGGGGAGTAGGAATGTGCAGCTGGGGAGGAAGAAGGGGACAGAGCTGCTGCTTTTGGTGGCAGCACAGACTTACAGGCCTGAGCGGACTCGCGTTTATTGCGAGACTTCAACTGTTCTTTGTGGCAGTTAAACAAGATGTTGGAGGGGAAAGGGTAGTCTCGTACATACGACAGTCGAGTGTTGCCTACGTTGTTTTCTTCATAGGTGACTTTGCTCCAGAAAAACGGGCACAGCTTTTCACAGGAGGCCAACAGTTGGCTGTCACCTTACCTTGCATCTGGAGCCTGATGTAGAAATACTGAGCATTCAAATCACAAATAAGCTACTAGGAGTTCTGCTCTAGCAATAGGAAGTGTTGGATAATATTCCATTCTCCAAAATAAGGTAGCTGAGTGGGTGTCTTTTGCTTGAATCTTTGTTCTTTTCCCATCTTTTAAATAGGAAGAATGCTTTTATGAGATAAGGGAAGACTATGGAATATGTTATTATTTAAAGCACTCAATTACAACAGTGTGGTACCCTGTTTAAAAAACCAAAAAGATAAATCTCTCTTCTGAACAGGACTTGAGTGTTGTATAATAAACAAGGTCTAGACAAAGAGAATTGGGTACAATATTGTGTTCTTGGCTTAAGTGAGCACTCATATGCACTAAGACTGGGGCTATCCACAAAAATGTAGTCACTATGATGCTTATACATGAAGTCCTTTGTTTCAAGAGGTTGTTTAAGAAATTAAGAAATTTAAGAAATCAGAACTCAATTAAATCAGAACTTAATTTTTAAGAAATTTGGTTCAGAAAAAAATGCTTGTCTTTTGCAGTCTAAGGTAAATTCATTGTTTTTGCACGTGTGCAGTTTATTTCTGCTTTTAAGAATATTTGGAAGATCATATGAAAAATTAGTTTGCTATATTTTTTGAGTAGACAAGATACCAAGCAAACAGGCCTGATGTTTGTTCTGTCCAGCAATTCCATACATAATAATCTAGACCCAAAATGCCACACTGCTTTGCAAGCTATTTATTATGTATTAGCACATTTAGGATTGCAATCTTGTTGAGGGGTTTTTGTTTGTTTCTTTTTGCGGTTGGGATTTTTTACTAGAATTGGTTCACAGTGTTCTTTGGCAGAAGTTGGTTAATCTGCTCTCCACAATGCCGTGGCATTGAGATACGTGTTTGATTGGGGGAAAATTATACTGTGCTTATGCTCCCAGATCTCCGCTGCCTGTGTAATTCCCCAGTTACACCAGTTGTCCCTCAAGACAGGTATCACAGAACATCTAGGCAGAAAGTGGGGTGGCTGAATGGCAACTGAGTGTGTGGAGGCTGAGGGCCAGGTGAGAGAAGCTGAAGTACAGGATCGTATGGCTGGGGCACAGCATTCTCCTCTTTTTTTTTTTTTTTTTTTTTTTTTTTTCCCCTTTCTTGTGTTT